TGTGAGGAAGATTAACAATCGATGTATTTTTTTCCGAAATAGGCGAAATTCCAACATTCGTTAAAACATACAATAACTTAATGTATACACCAAAGAAAAACCCCCTTTTAACCCAATGCCAATACAAGCCAATGAAATAAATCACACGGTATACAAGGTTATTCCAGTTTGATTTACTTGCCACGACAAAGGCATTCACGATATAAAGATTTATGTCGTATTTAAGTGTCATTTACAAAGACAGTACATCTAGTTGTCGCGGATGTACAAGGGCAAAGTTAGAATTGACTCTGTCGTGCCTCCTTAGCCCAGTTCATGACAAACACGACAAGCAAAAACGGGAAAAACGAAGCCAACTATTTTCTTTCAGGAAATTGTAGGTAAGACGGCAGCTTTCTCTCTGTTTGAACTTCATTAGTGTCCCATCACACGGCGGATGAAGAGTTTAAGCAGGGGCTGAGAGCTGCAGACTGGGTCAGTTGAACTAAGTTCTGTCGGGACATGCAGTTTGCACTGTCTGGAACGAGCCCATTCGTTAGACTGCCATAATTTGCTTTGGTAACTAGATATAGGGACGGAATCATCCAACAGATCTGAACGCAAGCAAGGGTTATAAGGAAGGTAACTTGCTTCTGCATGGCGACAGGATGGTTCTACGGTAATCGAATGATTACGGTGGCTATGGACGGATCAACATCCAAAGTATTAGTCACGATTTATGAAATATTCCTTCCAAAGACGCACACTTTGCTCTCCAAGGCTTATTTTAGTCGGAAAAGCGTTTAATAAGACATCTCATGGAAAAACATGTTCATTTGTGGGATAACTTTTGCATTTAACGTGAACCCCTGATCCCAGGATTTTCGAGCAAAATTCGGAAATGAAAAGAATGACTGAAATGACTTCATTCCATGAACTTTGACAGAATACTCGAGCAGTGTTTTAACGATGGTTGACAAAACAAACAAAAAGCAACAACCTATGCGACCGCAGAGCGTGTTCAGCATAGAGAGGGGGGGTGCTTAGGCAGACGATTCCTGTCACATGATAAAAACAAATTGCCGGAATAATGTCCTTTTATGCATCATGCACAGATCATAAGTCCAACACTTTTGGAAATAAAGCACATGCTGGGAAGGAGAAAAAAACTACCTACTAACAGAATGACCCTTCTGGGCACGAGGACGCGGACAATTAGCTTTTCTTTATTTTAACATCAGCAATGAGCCTTTGCTGCGTGCACATAGTACAGGTGCAGATGTGGATACGCTTCGCTTGAGCTCTATTTACACTAGGGCCGGTTTCTTTGAAAAAAATGGAGCCAATTTCAGAAAACTGGGAATATGAATTGCTCGGTTCGCTGACATACAATTTACAGGAGACCCATTTGTTACGGTCCCTTAATTTAATAATTATGAGGCCAATTTCTGGGAACAAGAAACCTGCTTCCAGCGGGATTCATTTCACAGGAGGCCAGTTTGAATATAATGGGCTAATTTCACGGAAGTAAAGCGAAAAAATCATTTGCTTACCAAACACAAGTTTCCAATATGTGTCACACATTCTTATCTCATGTTGAAAGAAAATTTTTGCTCACCAACAGTTTCTCCTTATAGCATTCATCAATATGACATTGGGCCGCATACCCTTCATGCAAGGGTTGTTCATGGCCACGTGATCATAACTGAGTCTTTTTTTCAAGGAGGCACGTATAAACTAGCGGCCAAAACAATAATTTCTTCAAGGTCTGCGGTGACGCACATGACTTCTGACGTCACTTGAGCAGGTGGCCCATATCATGTCAATTAAGAACTCATGGCAGGAGTTAATTGTTTAAAAGTACCTTCAGCGTCATGCAGCGAGACAGCTATGTGTAGGCGAAAGGAAAGGACGAGAGGCTCATCTGCTTCGGTTGTCCAACACATGACTAGAATAGCAATTTTACAGCTAACAACGCATCTAACCACCACAAGCATCGCAGAATCAAGTTTTACGGTTCACTCAAAGAAAATGACAGCCGCACAATGCCTCCCCAAAAATGAATAAAATGGCTGGTTCCATGTAGAACACGTTACTCATTTTACAAGATGTGATGTTTCAAACGCTGAGGACACCCTCAAGAGGCCTGTGGTGGATTTCTGCGTCAGATTAAAGGAAAACACAACGCGACACGACGTGTCACCTACATGTCTCCAGATTTCTGTTTACGGAGACATATAAATCAGGTGTTCATGTAATGTGATGATAGCTGCACTTTAGGTCTGGAAGCGAGCTATAATCAAGCGATACCTGTCAGAATATAACACAATTCTATATTCACTTTGCAGCGGTTCGCGTTTTTCCTTTCAGAAAGACTCTGATGCAATCAAAACGCAGACGCTTTTATCTTTACGATTTGTGTATTATGTTAGGCTACTACAGTCTAGAGGCAGCGGCTACTTATTTCAAATAAATCGTTATTCTGTGTCCATAAACTCCGAACCTGTCACTAGGCCCATTATTTCTGTACTATCGTGTTACATGCGGCTTTTGAAAGGGTATTGATCTGACGTTCCTTCGAGGAATTCGGTTCTTCTGTCATCCAAATTTAAATCATGCTGTCCATACTGTCAAAACCCGTTCTACCAATCTCGTTGCTTTATGCTCGAGTGGTCCCTGTGTCTATTCTTATGCAACGCCTGCACACATCCCCGTCATCTCATCGGTGGATAACTGATCACGTGTCGCAACGCAACCGGAACCGCAACGAGACCATAGAGCGTTCCATTCGGCGGGTAACTGGATAACTCAACGTTTCAGCCATGAGCACGGCCACACCACTTGCATTCCTCATGTTGTAACGTCTTAATACAAACAGTGTGATGTTGGGAATTATTCTGAAGGGATTTATTTAGGATTTATTCAGGTAATGCAACACTTGTTTTCTCAGCCGTTTAATGAAATGAAAAGAATGATTATATTTTGTATTTAAAATATTCTCTTACACGAATAGAATGAAACATTCGACGACTTTTGAGGTTATCCTTAACGTTGCACTCATAAACTTCCTTATTTGTAAAACGTTTTCAATTCAGCAAGGGCTGCTCACTATTTCAAGTAAAACACAATTTAAATTGGGTAAAAAGTGAACCGATTGTTTTTAGTAATTCCAATTCACAAGGGATTAACAGTTCAAGAGTTCGACATTGTTTGATTTTATTTATTACGTTGAGAATTATGTTACACGCAGGCAAGGGTTTACTGATCGATTTATTTTTTAACAAACTATTAGAATGGAGAGGGCAAGAATGAAATGCCATACGAATGTTGACTGTATTTGACTTTAAACTGTAATTGTTATTTAAACTCACCACGTGGTATGCAGCCAAACATGTGTTGACGTACAAATCATCGAGGGACGATTGTTAAATTATTTACTATTAGAATAAAATTAACTAAATCGTTTTCAGACACCTGTAGAGTCTTTCACATTTAAAGGCCAGTGCAATGTACCGTAATTGTTTCATGCAGTCCTTGAAATTTCACCCATGTGTCCCATTTAATCTTATTGTCGATTTCTGGTTTGCCATTTTTAAAGGGTATATAGGTGCCTTTTTGTTTTTTATGCTAATGCAAATTTTCATTTTCACAATCAAAGCTGTAATGTCAGTCTGGGCTAGCACTATCCCTTTTTCATTTTAAGGCTTACGTCGTGGAACATGTATACGCATTCATTATGTGATATAGGCCTATATAGGCCCCTTCATGAAGAGAGATGGCACACCGTGTCTCAAAACGACCAGATGAAAGGTCTTTAATCACAGACGAGTGTATCGTCGATCAACAGCGATCAAAAAAGAACACTGTTTACTACGGTAAATTTAACTTATAGCGACAAGGACATTACAAAATCACTCGAGAAGGGTTGATAAAATGGCTCATCCCAAGGTATTACAAAGTTACGTGATATTTGTTTGTTTCATTTCATGAGCTATAGGAATCCTGGTTATCAGGTTATATCAGTACATGTGATAGTCGCCTGACTGTAAAAGATGGACAAGCCGATGGGTACAGCAGGGAGATCGCTGTGCGCTACCTAGTCATAGCCAGTACATGTGCAAAGCCCCGCTCCCAGCGACACTGCTTGGCACAGTATTTCAAATATTGTTTCCAAAAAGTGCGCAGTCTGTTGAGAGCCAACATGGTTCATCGGGCCGGTGAGTAGATGCCTCCAGTTTCCTTGAAAGGCCTTGAAAGAAAATATTGATATTCATGTTGTATGTACTAGATGCGAGTACACAGTATGTTTCAGTTCCATTTTGACTGTAAGTGGGTTGAGCGAGTGGGCAAGTGAGAAACAAAAGTGTTAAGGATATACAGCTGAATTCATCCCTCGAACTCCTCATCCTGATTCATGAGCTGTAACCACTATATGCCACATCCCCCCCCCCAATCCAAACACCGGAGGAGACTGAGAGGATGTTTTTATATCTTGCAAGGAAAACACGATTTTTTTCGACGGATAAGTTAATAAACGGACAGGATGAAGTATCGGTGCAGCTTAGAGTGTGATGTTCATGTTCCGTCATGACACTATCCATCCTCTCCACTCCAGCCGTCTCTGCCGACGACTTTAGATTGAATCCTTATCAATATATCATTTATTAATAAGTGAACGATTCGACGTACCTCAGTCATCGGGTATTGCCCGATGACTGAGGCATTAAAGCAAACAAGAGTACATTTTATACATTTTGAAGTACACTTTTGAAATAAATTCCCTTTCAATAAGCGATCAGTCGCAATGTTATTGTTCTCTTTTTCACTTTCACTTACCGGTATAAAATGGATGGACGTCATCCGGACATCAATTTCACTATCCCTGTCCAAGCATACATGTTCAACTCGTGATTAGCATAAGACAATTTTTAAAATAACCTTTTGGAGCAGTGTACACAACGTGACAGAATTTACGAAGTTAGACACACATCACAACCATCACTTAACATCGAATGACTTACCAATCGGTTGGTGCTCTGATGTTCCTAGTGAGGCGCACAAAGCAATACAAAACTCTCCATTCGGCTGAGCAACAATAACCGTTTGACCACTCGCACTCCAACGTCTCTAACGCTGCTCTTCACAAAGGACCTCCATTTACACGTGCGTTTCTCTCGTGCCCTTCCGGCGTCAAGTTCAGCAGCAGCGATTGATCCTTAACACTGCAAAGGACGTCCCCCGACGAAGTGCCTTTGGAATCTGATCTAAGATGAAAAAGACGAAACTTTAGTCCTCAGGTGAGCAAATTAATCGTCTCCCAAGAGATTACTGCCGGTCCCTTGGACACGCGGAAGTGCTGAGATGTCAAGTGACATCTCTTACTGAATTGCAGAACCTAAAAATAACTTACCCGCGCGAAAGAAATTGCCGAGTTGCGAATAAAAGTAAACAGTGGTGGAGTTGCTATTACCGAGCAGTAGACCACAGTTAAATGAAGGAAAGCTGAACGAGGCAATCAAACGTTGGGAGCCAATGATTGAGGAAGGTAATGTGTGGGAACCATGGGCTTACCCAGGTCACCTAGGTGCTGAACAAAACTGACGCAGTTCAATCCAGACCTGCACCTGTCTCTATACGAGCGTGATCAGCCTGTACAGCTGATTACAAACGTGAATCTTATGAACGTTTTTGTCAACGGATAGGCAATAGAGGAAATCAAATTTTGGTAAGGTAGATAGTGACCCCAGCAAACATTAAAAAGGGGATTCAGAAAAATGATTCTCAGCATTAAACTGGCTATGCCATTTTGTCGCCGAGATACACATAATGTACATTTGTGCATAACACCAAAATGCCATAGGCACTGCACGCAATATGCATTATCACGTGCTTACTGCAAGATAAGTTTGGCATCGCCGGGCAATGTGCTTCCCGCTTAGAGTCGCCATGCTAAATCGTTCAGTGACGACGCAGGCACACACACACTTTGGAGGGTGAACAGCATCCCAAATTAACCCTGAGCACAAACCTCTCACAAAATCGTTAAAGAAATTTACTTTAAAAAGTGCACTCAGTTTCCGTGGAGAACGAACTGTAAGGGGCAGACCACAAGTGCAAAAAAACCCCTTCGGGATGCAATATCTGAAGCTATTCAAGTTGTAATATAGAGAGCAATGCGCTCGGCTATTCGTGCTTTGTCTAGACAGTTCTTTTGAACTGTTCTATCAAGACCCAACATCCTGCACTTCAGAGAGCCCAAAAGGCAGATATAAATGCACACGCGTCACAAAACGGGCTTGACAACTTCACTGAACGTGTACGACGGGGGGGGCGGCTATTGATCGGAAAAAAAAAGGGGTAGGCTGCAGGGAAAATGTTTTTGTTTGGCCTCACGTTCGGCTGCCATGAACACCAGGCAGGCGAGGGCTCCTCTCATCTTGAGCATGTCTCCACCGCCGGTGAAGATGGCCTGTCCCGGTAAGCAAACGAAACAAGCTTGAAATGGCTTTTTCCGGAGAAGGGGTGAAATGTTTACTCCCGGCGAGTGCTGAAACGTGAGGTACATGCACATCGGTGTAACTGATGATGTATCTGCGGATGCAGGACAGAGGCCGCCGCCTTTGATTGGGGTGACAGGGTATCAGCTGCCGTACACACATGACCAACTCAATGCCAACTTGCTATCAACCCTGGCCTGTCTGACATATTAAGAAAACTGCTGATTGGGTAAATTACTCTCACCCCAACCAAACGAGCGAGCATGTGCTGCAGGAACTTTAAGTGTGCTACTAAGATCGCTTATGTCATTCAACCTCGTGCTCAAAACAAACCACCAGATTGCGTATGGACTCCGTGCAAAAGCACCTCCACAATGGTGGCAGGGGACAGAGAGGAGTCCAGTCCCCGTGCGAGGAGGTTACGTTTCGTTTCGATACGTATAAATTCAAATCCACACAAAATTTCAAAAACAGTCCCCTTCCGATTATCATTCGAAACGCGAAACAACTAATCTCTCGCTTTCGGTAAACGAAACGCTTAGGTTTTAGAAATGTAACTTCTTGGATTTCCGACAGGTATAAACAATGTACATTAAAAGAATAAATACATAATGTGTTAGAAAGTACTCGAAATGCGGGACAACCAAGACACGTAACTACTGCGCTCGCACAAATAGCAACCGAGTTATTGAGTCACCTTTGGCGATATTAAGTTCAAGTCTTTCAACCTCGTCTACACCCTGACGAATCATACATTTCAAACGCTCCTCGTGTTTACACGATCGTGCTAGTAAACCTTCAACAAAAACACACGGAACGGTGAACGCAGAATAGGATATTTGTTTTGGTTCAGGCAGCCTTATTTTTTTTCCTCCCGCCGAAGACAAGGTGTGGCCGAGGTTGGCGGGAAATTTTGCTACGAAAGCCTCTCCACAAGCATTCCTGTCCTGTCCGAAATACCGGGATGCAACTGGCAACATGCCTCTGCTCTTGAAATAATATTGAAGGACGAAGTTATTACACCGTCACATCACGTGATATATTGTTCTGATATACATGTATACCTATTATGTTTGAGTTGTACGTCGGAATTGCCAAGTTGAGAGCAATATATACCGTCTGAAATGAACAAAACTGTCCTACCTTATTCATGGAATAAGATCTACTGACTGATGGTGAGGTTACTCACTACAGAGGAAGTCACAGGCTAAACAGCACTGGAGGCTGTTAAATTCCACCAAATGGCAAAGTTGTGATGACCACCACGGAGAAGTGTATTTAAAGAGAGCGGGGGAAGTAACGCAACAAAAAACTTCGAGCACTCTGTGGGAAATCAAACAACATCTTTTAGGAAAAAAGAGCGAGAAACGTGACTAGTGTCGAAAACGCTATTAGAGTCACATGATTATTGCCGAAACTCCGCTAATATAAGCCACCAGTGTATTCTCTAAGCTTTGACTTCCTGTCTCCATGGGAACAGGGGAACCGCCACTGAAGGATGCAGTCTGTCTCTGACGCAGGCATCACGACATTGCCCGGAGCTAGCGAGCAAATCATTGACGTCTGCATCAGGCAAATTTAGACCACGTCGCAGTTGTCTGGCTATACACTTTTCAGTGGAGTAAATAGGTAAACATTCCCCACCTCCTACCTTCGGTGATTCAAAACATGATCACATCAACAAAATCTGAGAACTTTAGAATACTACTTCCATAAGATGTTTGGGAGCTATATTTATGGCAAACTTAACGAACAGGAAGTGCTAACTTACGAACCAGCTGAGATCTGGTTTTGTGCCTGCTTCATTTGTTCAATGAGTGATCTTATTCCAAATAGCTCAACAGATATTGACTGAGTACAGGACGTACGAATTTCGATATTCCATGAGAGAACGACAAAGCCGAAAAGGACTCCGAGTTGGTAAACTAAGCCGGGTGGCGATGTGTCAGCACTCGCAACATCCCCAGTGTGTTGAACACATCGTGCAGGTGCACGTAGGGTCACGTGCGCATGACTCATTTTCATTTGAATGTGCACAATCCCCTTAACATCTTCGCATTGGCACCAAGCTCATGTTGGCATTGACGCTCATATACCTGTCCTATCTTTCTATGTCACCGTAGAGGACGCACTTGTTCGTAGAGTTCGTGTCAAATACGCCCCCAAATACCCGAAGCATACTGCAGATCACAGCGTCAACTGTTAATCCAAAATGCATGGCGGGTGTCGCTAAACGCACGCTATTCACTCTAAGTTAGAACAAGAGAAGGCGTGGTTTTACATAGTTACAACGGCCCATTGGTGGAAACTTACCACATGCACAAGTTCACCCAAGCAGGGGCGTGTTTCAGCGCCCCGAACCATGAAATTGTTCGAGCTTTGGTCATTGGTTGAGCGCTTTTGGCGACTTGGTTATGCCTCTGCGACGTCATTTTTCCGACCGAACGAAAACCAAAGGTTGGGGCTGGTTCAGCGCCGGTTAAAAATGGCGGAAAATAAACAGACCAGTTTTGTCACCCTTCACATTAGTGAATTATACATTCCAAAATTTGTTGTTACATTCAGATCACCAAAGGGATAGTTTCTTCTAGAACATACAAGAAAAGAGAGAGCAGCACTGGTGAGAAACATGCCGAATATTGAGAAGAAATGATGTTCATCCACAGTGTTTCCTCTGGCGCTCGCCTCTGTCAGATGACGTAACTGTGTCTGATACTTCGTTTTTGTTGATTAACATCTCCCCAACGCAAAAATACATCTTGAAATAGTTCGCGGTACCTGCTGCTTCACCTGACTCGGACCGGCCACCCGACCCCGGCAAGCTCGGTGGTCAAGGGGTTAAGACGTCTGCACTAATAGCAGGAGGTCGTAGGTTCGAGTCCCACCCGAGTAAGCTTGTAAATTTTTTCGCAAGCTCTCGGACAAGCACTGATCATACAGTGTTTATCAGCATATACGTTGGGTAAGGGCAAAACCCGTTGTATAAATTAACATCTCCCCAACGCAAAAATACATCTTGAAAATACTTCATTTTGTTTTGACGTCACAAACATGTTTCTAGTTAGGGGTAACCAAAAATACCCCAGGTTTGGTGCCAAGCTGGACTCCATGGGCTGCGTGCGCATTCCTTCACTAAACCTGGTCGTGTAGAACATGAATATCACGCTGACTGGATATTCAGTATGAATATAACGTAAAGTGAATCACTCGCATATTTGAAGAGCTACGCACTCGCGTCCACGTATTCTCCTGCACGTCACGCACAAGCAAATCTCCGTCGGGTGTAAACGCATTTACTACAGTCATAATTTAAACATCCGAGATAGTGGCATGACTATTTAAATCTTACAATACCAGGGGTTAAAATCGCACAAGGCATGGTAGGAACTAACATGGCGCTGCAAGATCGTACCCGTGGGTACGAAGATGGGGTTGGTGCAGGACAGACGCGCTGAGCACGCGCTTCCAGTTTCGGTGACTATCAGGTGTGTGCATAAGCGCCTGTCCAGGTTGAAAAACTACCCACCAAGCCATATATCAGGGTCATATGTACAGTGTGTAATCATGGAGCTATTAAGTATGGAGAAAATGCCGTGTTTAATAGCTTCATGGTATAATCCTTGCTAGTGAAGGTGCACTCGGGGCGAATAGAACATCCTCGCGTAGCATCAGGGGAACGATTTTAGCAAAATGGCAAATGGGAACCAAAATCACTCAACTATGACTTTAAGGACTCCATCCGATTTTTCTGTTGAGTGTCCTCCAGT